TGATGATGATGATGATGATGATGATGATGATGATGACGATGATGATGATGATGATGATGATGATGAAATATGCACGCTATGGAAGCACTAGGGGACAGTGATTCTCCGGAGGAAGGTGTTCACGACAATTTTTGTGGATGGAAAACTGAAACAAAGCTCATGAGCCAAAGCCTAATAAGCAAGGTTGTACATCACCAATACTTACATATGAATCAATCAAACTGACAGACACCGTATACTACAACGGTCGTTTAACTGACCTTCCCATTGCTTTACGGTCGCTTCTGCTTTCGCAACTCTGGTGACTTGGAAGTCACTATTACTGACTTCTGGGCTTGGTATTATTCTAAGCTGTCGGCATCAAAGGTTTCTGATTGAGTGGTTACCCGTTGATAGTCTCATCTGTGTGGTTCTTTTGCAAGAGAGGGAGTGTGTGTTTCTTGAAGCGCCCAAGATAGGTGAAATGATCACACTCTATAGGTTGCGCTGACTTGACCACATGCTCCATATGCCAGTTGTCCGACCCCCCGCACAACCACGCTAAATGAGCCAGATGAGGTGAACTAATTAGTTGGCGCTGAAGTATGAAAGCCATCACTAGCAAACTCGCCTGCGCTCGTAATTGCCGTCTTTCTGCGCGGGAACCCTGAGACGGGACACGTAAATTGTAATAGACATTGTCAGACATGGCCCGGTGGCGCCCTTAATTGCCCTCGTGCATGCAAGCCATAGGCCTAATTGCATAGCTCACCAATCTCCCCAATCAGAGGTTCACTGACAACCATGTATTTACAGATTAATTATATCAGCTCCCACCTACAATCCACAGCCATTTACCATACCTCCCCAAATAATTGGTGAGTAGAACTGCGGCTGCTGTAACCACTATGCGGGAAGTACGTGGTTCTACAGCTGATGTCAATGGTGTTGATGACGATTGAGTGACTCAGCGTAGTAAATTGTACTTCATCATCTGATAGGTACACTCATTTGCCTACCAATTTTGTTTGCACTGGAGACTCGCCTGAAACCGAGCTGAGTAACCTCTTTTCTGAAAAGTTATTCCGTCATGTTTTGAAAAGAAGCATAAAAATAAGAGCAAGAGAGGGAGAAAGTGAGAAAGAGAGCGGGCGATTCCGAGACACCAGCCTAGTCATTACATTTAAGCCGGCATCTTCGGCAGATTTTGGCCGATGATGCAACTATTTTGAACTTCTTCGGATTCGGGAGTCGAGTGGCACAACGGTTTCTTGGTTCTCACTCAATCGGCTATGAACTGAATCAATGCTCACATAAAAGTTGTCTGCAGCAGAACGACCTAAATTCCACAATCGCTAGCGTTGAGTCAATGAGGGTGCTCTAACCTTGTGTACTGTGCTCGGATTGTGTGCCTTCTTTGGGATATGCAGAATACTTCTGCTGGTACCGTCTAGATTCGGCGTAGCAGATTCCTGTGATCTAACTGCTGGGGGTGCAAACGTTTAGAATAATAGGGTACGTAGGGTAGCACAGTTTTAAATGTGAGCCTAAAGGGAGGGACACGATTAATTACCATCATTTAGTCTCTTTTATTTGCTCGACCGACGCACCTATGGCGCGGGTAGGATGAAGGGTAGTCATTGAGCGATATGAGAGGAAATTAAGGTATAACACGGAGGTGCGGCTAAATGCATCGGCAATAGCATAATTCCTCCTGGTCATCTCATGTTTGCATTCGTCATAGGATTATCTGAACAGTCGTATATTTGTACATTGGTCGACCTGCCAGATGTCTTGTCACAGTTGAATGTCAGTTAATTTCAGTACCGATGAAGGTAGTCCGACCATTGCATCGCATCGCACCCCACCAAGTCCCAGTTCTTCACCGACGTTATTTAGTCTGTAAGTTTAGTGGACCCATAAGGTTGCAACAGGTGGCCTCTCATCCTACTGCTTCCGTTCGGTAAATCAAGTGTCTCGTTGTACGTAGCAAAAATCTTACGTCGTTCCTTTACATTTAGCTTTTCAGGATTAAGATGTTCCGGTGAATGTGGTACTCTATTCTTAGGCCATACATTTTTTTGAGTTTGTAGCAAGTCTTTAGAATGTCTGAGTTACTCTGTCTGATTCATCTGCATTTCCCTTCGTAACTTTTTTCCACCACAGAACTTACCGAATAAACGTGGTCTCAGAGTAACTTTGAAGAAAAAGCGGTTGTTTACGGTATCCACGGTAAGTTTCGCACTTATAGTTGACACAGTTCTTCATAGTTGAAACGAATCATGGATTGTCAGGGGATGTTGGATACTCCGGTCTTTTGCGTCCTCATTCCAATAACGCCGGATGTTCCAGTGCATTTGGCTAAGCGACTACTACAGAAGGCTGATCCTGATGCTGAAATCTCGGAGAAGGGAGAAGAAAATCTTCAGCGCGTAGTGCACATCAGATCCCCGTTATTGGACAAGCATTTTGCTCTGGTTAGTGCAAAGCCTGATGATGTGTTTGCATGCATCGACCTGATCAACTTGGCGGATTCGGTAGTGATGCTGGTTCCCAGTGACTCAACGGAGTTGGATTCAAAGACAGAGTCGTTTCTGACGGCACTTTATGCACAAGGACTTGGAAATGTGTCTTTTGCGGTCATGTCGTCCAGTTTTAACGAAAAAGCGATCAAGCACAACTTGCTGGTAATTTGCAGTTTTTCTTACTGAGGTTTGGCTGTTTGAAATCTTTTATTAAATTGGGTGATCTCTGGGTCCGTCATCGCACGACTGCCGAAGCCTTTGGGGAATAAAAGTATAATCCGCCGAAATTTTGATTGAGATTTAGAATGGCGCTCTAGCAACCACGATTTGTTTCTTCACGTCCTCTGTTACCCATGGAAAGTGGTTCAGGAATTTCAGCATTAGAACTCTCGAAAATCATTCTCTCGAAATTCTGGACGATCTGTCGAAGTGTAGGTTGGTCGGATGTTCTAATTGACTGTCAATCAGGCGGCAGGGGATCCGTTCATCAAGATTGACACTTGGCTTGCAAACGTTTCGTCACGTACATGGGTATGTCGTGAGTGTGTGGCTGCGTGGGTGTTCCAATCAGCACGGTAAATGAAGCCAGATACCAAGCTCATGGAACAGATCAACTGCGACTACAACCAAACACACCACCAATTGCAGTCTCGTATAATTAAGGAACTTGAACTTTCTTGCTCACGGAGACCACCAGAGGTCACTAAGATGGTTAATTCCAAGCACCTTCAAATGCATGATCATGGTATGTAAACTGGGAAATTTGAGTACATTCAGCAGAGCCTGTGGACCCACGTAATCTTCGAGCATATCTTTTAGCACTTTGAACAATGTCATCAGCACTTTCGCACTGAATGGGGGAATTGGAGGTAGATACGCACAAAGAAGTAAAAACGGAGGACACCAGCATGTTGGGAGTGTTTTGGTGTTTTATCCTTGTTAGGTTGTGAAGTGAACCTGGCTCGCTTGAAGGCATCAGATGATACCTGTCTCCGAAGCTGAAACAGCTGTCGCATTATTGAGATCTAGGAAGAACAACCGAATCACCCTGTTGTTACGATCACTTGTACCAAGCGGCAGTATCCAACCTTGAACACGATCTTGGATAGGAGTAATCAGGTATCAGGTAGTCAGGTAGAGACTTAATAGAAACTGGTGTAATCCCCTACAAGACCTAACAATTAGCCATCGTCTCATTGATGGGACAAAACGGTTACCTGCTAGAAATGGAGGCCAGCATATAATTCCTGTAACATCGATGACAGGAGATCAGCAACAATCGCTTTTCCCGCCTTGTGTTTGACTCATTACTTGTGTACTTTATCATTCACAATGTATGCAGTATGACTAGACTGTTCGAAGCAAACAAAGATGATGGTTATCTATGCCAATTAATGCGCCATGGAGTCCGTCCAATACAGCGTCAATCAAATGGCGTTACCACAATCCTAATTGGGGATACCCTACATCTCATAGCAGTCCAAGTCTCCTTTGGACATATATTTCGTTCAGGTGGTTGATCAATTTTCATAGTTTCGTTACCTTTTCTTCCCTTATCTGACTTCTCTTCCTATGGACTCTTTCTCCCATCCATCGAGGTTGCTTGGGAAACGGTAGCAAAAATACGTAAGCTGTAATATAAGTGATTCAAACAGCACACCACAAAGCATTCAAGTGTTCATCTATTGATAGATTACATTATGGAAAAGTTAGCGATCAGTATTTTTTGGTAAGCACTTTCCTTGAGCATGCCTGAGGTTATTTTAAGAGAAAAACGACCGTGGTTTATCTATGGTTATGTCTTTGGAAAGACGACCAAGCTTACTGATCAGATGAGCCAAGGTAAGGGCACTTATTTACGGCAACCTTGCGGGAATTGTTGACAAGCGCATACCTGGTTGGTTAAGTTGAGCATCAAGTCCTTTTGAGAGGTGTGTATCACCCGGGTAACATAAAGGAGGAACAACAAAGTAAAATTACTGGCAACTATACGAATAGACCGGTCCAACTGGGCTTCAGTGTTTTGGGAAAAATAAACGAACGACCACCAATCAGAAGTGTATGTAGCTTCATGAGGGGAAAGGGTTTGGTAGCTAAAATCGCAGTTATACTTCAGTAGTCTGATCTTGGGGGCATGGTATCAACGCGCGGAATAGGTTATTTTCGGCTGCACAATTGATGATTTTGGTGTTCGAATGCCCATTTTCGTAAGGCGTCCGAAAACCGAAGTTTTGGCGTCAGTCTTGTCACTACGACCAGTGTTCTGTTACGTGTATATCAAATTGCGGTCTGCTCGCGAGGTTCTAGCCAATCTTTTCATTGCTTTATTCATGGGGCTACCTTCATCCTCATAAATTACCGGGTCCGAGACCCGTGAAGGAACGTTTCGTTTTCTTTATCTGTTCCATTACTAAGACTAGAATCGTGATACATATTTCACGTACTCAGATTTCTATCTGGATATTTCTGACTTCACTTCACTAACTCCGCGTTTCTATTACATACATGCATTCATGCATACTGTTTCCTACATGCCTGCTTCTTAGTCTCGTTTTCCGGTACCAGAGAACGTGATCTATCCGCTCAACACTCCCGATCACGCGCTCAATCTTTTACGCCATATCGGTGTTCTGAAAAAGAAATCACGGATCCAAGAGAATGGAACACATTCGTCTAGTCGGTTTCGAGCCAAAATGCTGGTTGATTCCTTAACATTGATGTCCGTGCCAGGTAATTTCTTCAGATATTGTGTGCCAGCTGTATTTCACTTCTGCACAAACACGCTGTTGTAACAACTAAGAAATATTCACTTCCACTGTAATGTGGACAAATCTATGTTAGCAAAATTAAGCTGATATGTGGGCCTGTTTGTCTGTGTATCGCCAAGCTGATGAAAACTGGCGAATAGCCAAGCAGGCAGTGTCCAGTTGTGCGTTCCCAAGAATTGGATAATAATTACCAGAATGTGTTTTTGGATTTGCTTGACTCAGGTAGTTATAATGCCGGCTCCTTTATGTGAATGCAATTCAAGCAGGGGGATTATTCCCTAAGAATCCCATTAATCTTTCTCACTGATTGAGATTTTCACTACCGGCTCTTTTCCGCATTATACGAAGAGAATTTAAATCCTGGGGTGTCAGTTCGACCCGAATTTTCAAGCATTGTGGAATAAGGTGCAATGCGTTTCTTCGCCCACTTGGTACTAGGTGTTGGAGTTGGTTTTAGTTTGTGATTGTCTTTCTGAGAATGAGTGTGTACACAACCAAGCAAACAAGCTCCGGATGCAATTACGGGCACGTGAAATTCACAAGCGTATCAATAATTGATAAAAAGATAATCGTTCAACCTTTCCGGTGCCTAGCTGCCATGCAACCCGAAGGAAGCACAAAGGCTGGGATACTGCCAGGTTGCCCAAGCCTAGACGGGAGAAGTCAAGAGACAGAGGTCGGGTTCGAAGCGCGGACTTTCCGGTCAGTAAATTCGCGCTCCAACCACTTGAGCCATCTCCCCCCACAGACTTATCACCAAATGTGCTTTATGGTGGTCTTACCGTAGAACTGCAAATGTTTCGCGTATCCGGACTTCCTTAGTTCATAGAAGGCCGAATATTCAGTCTTCTACACTTGATCATAACCGATTGGTCCTTGCAACTCAGAACAAACTTCAGCCCATTCTGTCAGTATTTTTTCTCTGACAGCCAACATGTCATTCTATTCCGTCTCAGTGGTTCGTACACTGGTCGCTCTATTCTCCTGACTTATACTTTACGTTTTTATGTTTTAGGGAGCGAGATTGCTTAGTGGTTAGAGCGCGGATTCGCTCACCTGAAAGTCCGTGGTTCGAACCCGACCTCTGCTTCTCGAATTTGTCTAGGGTCTCTATTCTCCTGACTTATACTTTACGTTTTTATGTTTTAGGGAGCGAGATTGCTTAGTGGTTAGAGCGCGGATTCGCTCACCTGAAAGTCCGTGGTTCGAACCCGACCTCTGCTTCTCGAATTCCCTTGTCTAGGGTTGGGCAACTAGTCCTCGTGTTTTCTGGTGGCATTATCTTTTTTCGACTCATCAGTTTGACGTATTCCGATTGTGGGATCATGGGCTATGTGCTCAGCCCATCGCCACTGATCTACCAGATTTTGTTGCTGCTGTTTTGGTCTTTCTGTGCCGCGTGACCGGTTGATGTCAGTGGAGCGAATCCGTACTATAATGATTCCTTCGGTAAGCTGGTGGACACACACATGTAATACTCGGTGAACACCTAGATGACCTATTCTCTATTTGTTTTTATTCCGTCTTTGGGAAGGCGAAACGGTTAGGCCATGCGCTTTGTCCATTCCATACATCTAGTTAGCTCCACTCAGGCTGGATTGTGGTTACGAATAGACGAAAACTATCTATTCGGCCGTATCTTCCGGTCTACGGTCGAATGTCGACGTTGGCCGCTAAAACAGTCGGGGACTAAGGTGCCTTGATCGTGATAAAAACCGGTGCAGTTTCGTTTCGGAAGAACTTCACTAAGATAGGCAGGGAATGCCCGTGATCTAACCACGTTACAATGTTCTTATCTATTACCTTTCAGGCCTGCACGCGGATTCTGAAAACTCCAATTCTATGCAGACGTATCTGAAAGTTCAAGGACTCTTGCGTGGCTCTCCACTGTACTTCGATGATCCAATTGAACAGGTTGCTGACGAAAAAAGGCGCCCCTTTGTCTATTTGACCGGCTGGGGTGATTTTCCACTAGCCAGTGCCAGGTGGATAAATAAAGACACTACGCCACAACAATGGGCCATTGGTCCCCTTGGACAGACTGTTGTGAAGTTGAAAGATAATGTGCTACGTTCGTCCTCCGTGACAAACGGAAGTGGTGGGTTACTGTATTCCTGGAAGCGTTAATTATGTCGTCTACTGAAATCACAATTGTTTTTCATCGATTGCTGGTGATATTCAACTACCTTTGCTTTTCTCCGTTTGTATTTTCCTCCAACTGGAGCGATACAACAAAGTACACCCGGTGTATCGTTCAGTAGTTCCTCTCTGTGTGCTTTTCCAAAGCTCTCTCAAGTTCCGTTAATGGTTTGATTCTTGAACAGTGGCTCCAAATTTTAAGTGATGGTTTGGAACATGATTGATGGGTACAGTTGATTTCGAGAGTTGTAACATAATAGGAGTGGTATAGGGGGTTTGCAGCGACTTAGAGAAATACGGAAACATCGGTTTCCTGCTTCCACTCATTTGCTACAGTAATTTTCACGTCACTGTGCAGCATATGCGGCGACGTGTATTGTCGCAGAAGTGTGACTGAGATAGCACAAATTACGACGTATGTGACTTGTTCACTAGGGGGTCGGGAAGAATTTTAGCTAGCTATGGATTGTGTCTAGCTATTTCCACGTTTCATTCTTTCCAGTATTATTTTCGCAGTGTGTAAGTGGGCAAGATGGTCCAATGGTTAGAGCGCGAATTTACTGGCCGGGTGGTCCGTGATATCCTGGGAGTACTTCAACACTCGTGCTTCCTTCAAGGGGCGTGCCAACTGGGCACCGGAAGTGTGTTACAACTTAACGACTAGTATTACTATTACCATCATTTTCGATCACCGAAAAATGGACACGTGTGACAGGCAGAGCCAGGTGTTGGTTGCGACGGCTTGGCAGGGAAACTGGACAGCTACGTATTGATGGCGGTAGGTTGGAGGCGAATTTATTGACCGGAGGGCCGGGGGCCTCTGCATCTCGACTTCCCCTGTCTAGGCTTAGGCAACATAGTAGTATTCCAGCTCTAGCGATTCCTTTGAGTGGCATGGCGGCCAGGCACAGAAAAGGGTGTTCCAGCTGAACCATTATCCGCTATTTCATCATGACTGCTGACCACTCGCTTGTGACTGGACAAGTCTTCAAACTGGTTGCTTGGAGGTAGTGGATTCGTGAGTGCGCACTGTTAGTTATTGCCAATAGGAATTAAACAACTGTGGAGTGCTTCCCGGTTTTTCAGCATAGATTGGCTCCAGTTGTTGGACACAATCTCAGTCATATGGGCTTTGGAGGTGCTTCGTACTTCATATTCGCTGTTCATTTGTCAAGCTATACTGTTATTTAGTGGTTGTTATCAGCACCGAACCACAGCCGCCCATAACGTTTCTAGGCAGGCCACGTAGTGACTGGCTGTTGGATACCTAACACTTGACTTTTGGTATATTACAGATTTCATACTCAATACATAACCTGGCACCATCTGATATGTTGTGCGCAGATCTGGCAAGAAGCAGTTTTTTCTTCCTTCCTTTCTTTTAATGTGGAATCAGTCATCCCGGACTGAACACAGGTAATTGTCAGATAAACTGACTTTATTACGACGGTTTTTCTTTCCGTTCGACGCAGAGCTTTTTCCTCCCAGCCCTATGATGTTGTGGACAGTGTATGATATGGCAACGAAGTATAAAAGCACTGAATAGTGGACTGAGTCTGGTCGACAGCTGCCGCCTCTCTGTATGTGGATCTCGGAACTCATCTCATCAGTGGTTAGTGACACTGGCAGAGGTGTTCCAACTGCACAGTCAGTGGTGCGTGTGCATCAAGTTTATAGCCGTCATTACGTGGTTACCCAGTTAATGAACTGTGAATATGCCTTCGTCCCGAAGGCTGGTTTGTCCGTCCAACACTCCCACCTCCCGGTCATGTAGCAGCTGGAACTAATGTGCCTATGGTACACAGTTTATAACTCATAATTTGAATTGAATTGAATATTGAAGTACGTCATATGGCTTTGGGAATAAATAACCCGCCCACGATAGATGACCTGATAACACCCCATAGGTTGCGGTGTATGCCACTTGACTTACTTCCTCGAGTGACCCTTTTTTGCACAACCACACAAAGGTTGGAAACTTGAAATGGGAGGTCGAACAATGATTCGGCAGTGAAGTGCGAAAGTAATTAGCACGAAACTCGGTTGTGCTGGTCATTGCCGTCTCCCCGGATGTGGACCTCGAGATGTGATACGTCAGTGGTTAGAGACATTTCTAGACCCAGCTCACTGGTGCAGTTAATGGTAGACATGCGTCCAAGCTATTGTCTTCAATGCACATGTTTCCCTACCGATCTCACCGATGATTCCACTGATACCTGTGCCGCCGCATCAATTATGTCAGCTGTCGCCTAGTATCGCTGCTATCTACGCTAGCCTCTCCAGACCATCGCCGAACGCAACTGTGAGCTGTATCCAATGTATAGTAAGTACGCGGCTTTTACAGCTGACAATGATGACGCTCAGCTGCAGATCGTGTGTCTGACTTCATTGAATACCTAAATACGAACTGTTCTCAGATTCGGAAAGCCAGCCTACTCAGCCACTTCCAATGTTCGCACACTGAAATATGCACGACAACAAGGGACCTTCCTTCGGATGCTGGATTCCGTCTGTTGTACTTAAACTGACTGCACCTTCATTCTCTTCCAGGTTCAAGCTGCGTCTCCCTGGTGACGGGAATCCCGTGACTCAACTCACAGATGGTTAATGACACTGACAAAGTGCTTACTGGTGGTCGTCCTTCAAAGCTGTTGCCTCAATGCGTAGCTGTTTAGCTCACGACTTAGCTTAACATCCCATTGCCTCCACTGCTCGGCTTTTTGTCCTACATGGTTACACTTTCAGGTGATCGAATGTGTAGCGGCTGGAACTGTGAGGCTGTGTACCCATGGTACACAGTTTATGGGTGGTAAATTGATTTCTTCGATTGATTGTGTTCTTATATAGTGGGCTCTCTGTACACAACCGTTGAACTTGTATTCATATTTACTGAGATCATGTGTGTGTTGGAATTCCAGGGCATGTCAGGCTCTACCATCTATCGCTTAATCCAATAGGATCAGTAATCCTTTGTCTTTTTATTAACAGTTTGTGAAAGCTCCGAAGAGTCGGACTCCGTGATTTTATTGGCTCCCACTGCAACGGACGTTTCTAGAGAAGAATCCGTCCAGGAACATATGGATACTAACTCCGAAGCGGCTGAACTGTCTTCGGAAGGGGATCTGAGTTCCGCTGAAATGTCCGCATATTGTGCTCGATCATTGGCGTCATCCAGAATGTCCTTCTCTAGTTCACAGTTAACAAAGTTCCGAGAAGCTCGTGCAGAGGAACTCTACCCCGATGAGGTGAGTAGGGGTCCGGTGAATTCTCACTGGCTTAGGCACGTATTAACTTCCTTCAGCTGTCACTGACTTTCCAGAGCAAATTTTATCAGCTGTTGTTCTGCTGTTCAGCTTGTTTTTAGCCTGGAGCTAAAATCAAGTCAACCAACACATTGCTGTGTGCATGGTATGGTAAGGTAGGTGAATTCTCTTTGACAGCCTAACACGGAATTCAAATGTACGTAGTCGTCGGATTTCCACCAAGACTTCTTATGAGTGAACATCAAGTTGGACATTTACGGAATTAGAGACTTGCGATAGTGCTAACGACTCTAACCAGGCTCATCGATTTTTGGCAGTCGGTGTTCGGCTTTACTTGAATTTAGTTTGATGTTTACGTACGAAATAAATTTAAGGAAATTGAAAGATTACGCTTCCCTGATAAACGCCCAAGTGGTGAAACCGATAGTGGGTTGTCGGAGACTTATCATCACTCAGGACAACAGGCCACCTTTGCTCTCATACCGAATCCACTTGGATCTGATGCATACTGCATAACAGAAACAAGAATAGAGGATGGAAGCGTAATGACTGATCTGACTGCTCCATCACCCTCATTTGGTTTCAGGCTACGCAATTCTGGTCATCCAGAGGATGTTGCGGCAGAATGAGCAGGGTTGGCATCGTTCTAACTCACCGGGCAGAAGGAACGTTTCTTAACTGGATATCCGTTGGTAGTCACTCTTGCGCGGTTCGTCTGGCGACTTCCATGAAAGAGTTTTACAAGCATGAAGTTGATACTTATCTATCTGTCGTGTCTGTGTACGCCGCAACTAGATGTAGCTCTAGAATCACCAAAGACAACATTTGTGAAGTCTTGATCCCCCGGTTACGGCGGGCTAAAAGCTTTTGGTTTTGGTTGCCGGGGATTTGAATGCACGGATGAACAGACTTGGCAATTGTGAGGTTGTTAGGTGGTTGACTTGGTCGGACTTAGTACGTATAGGCAACAACGAACGTCGGTTTCAGCCGTTTTCTGACCGCAGACTGCTTTTATGCAATGTTAACTTCTAAAATAGCCGGAATCATCCGACTATTTAGCCCCCTATCATCGTGCTAGCAACGGACCCAATTTTATCACATTGCCGTCAGTCACCGATTGATCATAACCCACTGTCGCTCGTTTCGAAACACTCGTATAGGTTCTAACCATGCACTCACCCGGAGTCACTTACGCTTTCCCCGTGTAGAGGGCAGACAACTCGCTTACCAACTGAGATTCTCATAGATCCTGAAGATATAAGAATTTACCAGAGCTCTCTATACTCTGTTCGAACTGCTCCACCGTCGGATGTCAATCCGCACTGGAACGAGATAGCCACATCCTTGCACAATAGCTGCGGGACGTCATTGCCAGCTCCGCTCAAGCAGACTTGGGCAGACAGAACAGCGGAGCTCTTTGAATCTTGAGGCGATATTCGCACTGCTTTCGAACATTATTCAGCGCGGTGAGTAATCAAATGTCACGTGAAATTCAGCATGCACGCCGACAGAGAATTATAATTTAACAGGAAGGCAAAGGAAGTGGAAGAGGCCCAGAAAGCCGAGGCTACCAGAAGATTGTGTCGGTTGGTCCTTGTGAAGGGGCACCAAAAACCGCATGTGAGTGAAACCATCAAGGGTGCTATCTAAAGGTTTCTGTACAGTGATCGGTGTCTGACATGAACGCCTACTCCATCCCTGATCAATTTCGTGGGTGTTGATGTAATCAAACGGACGCGGTAGAGTGGTCAACACCCTACTGTTGAAACAGCTGCTGACGAAGGCTCTGTCCACCTGGAAAATCCAGACAACACCGTCTTCATTTTCGAGGAGGTGAAAAAGGCACGTGTTTTTTGATGAACTGACCCAAGTCATTCCGTCTTTTGGTATGTCCATTCGCTTCACAAATTCCAAGGTCCGGCTCTGGACATGCAGTCGTGGAGCACGTCGGTTACAATCCAAATAGAGATGTTCTTCTAAATATCCTAGAAATCGTATTGTGTCAGATGAGATCGATGCAATAATCGCTAGGGCTCAGTTCGCGTACGCTTGTTGAGATGGTCATGGTGGCAACGCGGCGCATCCCTGAATCTCGAGGAAGGTGTGCAGTGGGCTGCAGTACGGATTGTTCTGTTGTATGGCTGTAAGACCTGGCCTCTACAAACAGCGGAAACGAAACGTCTTCAGGTCTTTGAAAACCATTGTTTTGGAACCATACATTGTGTGATCAGTTGCCGACAATTGGAAAACGAGTGTTCGGGTGTGCAATACTCGTTTGTTTCAGAACTTACGATTTTCCGATCGTGAAGCTTTGTAATTAGTCTTTTACCTTTCGAAACTTCTGCGTACGTCTTCAGAAGCTGCTGCATAACTTTACCTGTTCATGTACAGCACACTACTACTACTACGGTACACTACTCATAAAGTTGCTGAAAATTCTTCGACAGCCAACGATCGGTATCGCTGGGTCCCAGGGGAGTCTCCCGCAAAACCTAATTCGTTTACAAATGAGTGTATTTCGCTAACTTCGTGCAATTTGGGTTGAAGCAGTACATAAGGTTGCAGAAACTCGGAGACTGCGCCTGCTTGGTGAGCCCAAAGGAAACTAGTCGTGGGCTGTCGAAGAATTTTCAGTAACCTTATGAGTGGTGTGTTACTTCTATGCATGCATTGCGATATCTCGGATGTTTTACCAAACTGAAACATGGGATGACCTGATGTAGTGCATTCAGTTGCCTAAGAACACCATAAACGAGAGATTCATCCGGGTTCCAGGTGAGTCACCTGAAGAACCAAATTGTTTTTAAGTGAGTGTATTTCACCTGTCTGCTCTTGATTATGCTAACTAATATGAATCTGGCAAAATTTTGTTCGTGCAGTTTTTATTTTTCGACGTGGGCAATCTAAGAAATATTATACATCCGATTGTTTACCTGTCTAACCGCTTTCTGTGAATTATCACCAAATAATTCCCGACACGATGTTTTCGGATCTGTTGTGTTTTCTATGAAATGCGGTTGGACCGTCACCGTCGCATCTCGTTTTTCAGAATTTTTACCCTAGGGAAGATGAATTTTCTGTCGCACTTAATCGTTTAATGCGACCGAGCAGCTGTTTCTCTACAATATAAATATGCTTTTTGATTACTTACCCTCCGGTTTTCTGGGTCCTAGCTTGCTTGTGAAGCATGTCGAACCTTCACAGTGAACATATTATGCAATATGAGGTGTGGGGGAATGCTGATGTAAGATTTTATGGACTAGTTTGGAGCTGTTACTCGGCTCCACTGCATCTCATTCTGGGTGTCGGGGCTGTACTTCCTTACTGCTGCACATCTGGATTCCACGATGCGTGCATTACGGGAGCTGGCGCATTTAATAGTCACCACCAATGAAACTAATTTCACTGATGCTAAGGCGACGAATGGGTGAAAAGTAGCCTAGAGCTGTCATCCGCTGACGGCACCAAAACATTCGCAATCGAACGACTTCGGCGGAAATTTTACGTGCAATCTCAAGAGCGCGACACGGCATGCCCAGTGACAGTAGACGGAGCACCGGACGGATAATTGTATGTATACAGCATCGCAGTGCTGGCTATGCTACCGTGGATGAAAGTCTTAGTAAGGTTCAGAACTGTATGGGGATATCCCCAATGCCTGCACTTGGTTTATTTCCTACAATGCCTCATGACTCAAGCCGCGTGTGATGCGAATAAGTTTGAGTCGAAGGACCGATATTCCTGACACGAAAGATTTCTCCATAGGAGGCACGTTGGTCGGATTCTATATGATGTATCTGACATCAACAGAGATCCACCAGTGGTTCCGTCGCTATAAGACGTCCAGAGGGAGATAACAACCAATCACGCAGACTTTTACAACCTACGTGGTTATTTACGTCAGGATGAGTGTAGTATTCGATGCACATACTTACCTACCTACGTATTGAAAATTACAGAGGTACGCGGAACTGCGTGCGAAACGTATCCCGGCACTAGTAGCCTTTCGCTGCCGAATCTCCAAGCATCTTCTGCATCTCCCGATCATCGTAGGTGGAGTAACATATGACTGTCTGCTGCACCTCATCACTTTCCTTCATTTTCACTCAATGTAGGATAAGGTTTCGATGCTGGTCACAATCAAGAGCGACAACCTACCACACATTTCACTTTTTGAAAATGCAAGATTTTGCTCCAGTTTTTGGGAGTTGATCTTTTCCGGGCACCTACCTGAAGTAATTGTCTGGCCCCTTCCAGGACGCCTTAGTCGGCTATCTGGGAAAGATATATGGTTAATTCCAGGACGATTCGGCTTTTGTACCTCTGAAAAGTGGATAGCCCGTGCTGTTGCAATGGCTGCAACACTTGAATCTAGCTAAAATACTTCTGCCAAATATTGGTGCTTCAAAGTTGCCACCTATACACTATGCGCTTCTTGACAGTGACTTCGGCGCGCAGAAAAAAGTAATGCACTAAAATGCATTAAATGCTCTCCACTCACCGGCCTTCTCCCGATTGATTGACTACATCAAATTCAGATTTGTTTACTTTGGGGTTCTTCCAATCTATGAGTGGTGGTAGCGTCTCACGTCCCCCAGTATCCGGACGGCAGCAATCATTGGTGACTAAACAAACCGAGCGCAGCAAAACCTAGCTACTTAATTTTCCGAAGTTCAAAAACCTCTTTTTTTTGGCGATTTGCAGATCTCGAATGCATGGTTCTAGGTTGGGACAGATGGTGTCGCGTGCTTGACTCGTCCGTCGAATGTCTAGCCATACGGAAATTAACATGACTGAAAACGCCTCATCATGTCTCTCCAGATTGTGTTGCGATTTGTCTGGCACAAAATGTGTTTTCATTTTTGTGAAAAAGTGTGAACTAGAATCAAGTGGAGTAAGAAGACCGAGGTATTTGTTTTTTCCTCATTTCGAAAAATTTTTTGTTCTGGTTTGCTGGCTGGTGTTGCTGTTCGAACTAATGTAATGGGGCACAGAAGCCGATTAAATCCCGAACACCAAGTTTTGCCTTATCTCTTGTTAGCACCATCACACCCGGTATACATAACCTGAGCATGGAATTCTTAGGAGTGCTACTAAATCCAGGCATAATTAACACAGTCGAACGTGTCAGTGAGCAGACATTCGTGGTCTTCGTAACTATATATATATATATATATATATATGAATAGTTTGCGTCCTGCATGGGATGGCAGTCAAGTGAGTTAAGTCTCAGAACTGCAAGGCAACACTACAAACCTAGACCAAACACCAGTGGGATCTGAATGCTAGCAGCTTCCCCGTTGACTGAATCGTTCGGTTCACGATCGTTTACAATAGTCAGTGTAAGTCTTATACAGCATTATTTGGTGGGTAAGCTTGTCATGGTACACAGTGCGATAGTATGGCCCCCCATCCGATTAAGTATCACATGTGCTTAAGTTTGATAATAATCTGACTGACTCTTTAAAACTTCTCGGCACTGTGCTACGTTCATTTTATTCTCTCAGTTAAGACACGTAAAATAACTCGTGGTTCTCCGGATGAGATCTCACCAAAGATATTGATACTTCGATAATGCCTCGGGAAAATATTTTTTGAAGTACATTGCAGGCTCTTGGTTTCTTCTCTCCTTTATTAGGTCGAGACACCTGTGAACCAACCCGCACGAGAGCGCTTTGCAAAGTACCGCAGCCTTCCCAGTTTTCAAAACAGTATTTGGCCATTTGAGAAGGATGTCCTGCCAAATCAGTACGAAAATATTGCTTGGTATGTTCCTCATTTGTCAGGATGGATCCGGATTGTGTGGTGATAGCATTGGTTGGAGTCACATGCTTCTCATCTTGCTTCAGCTGTACTTAACGTTTGTTTCATGTAACTTCATTTTATGTGTAAGAGCTCTTGCTTGTCACCTTGGGCACGCCATAGTGGTTGGCCAGTTGGGTTTTTATGCTTATCAGCTGTCGATACTGGTTGCGTTCTGGTTCGCTGAACGATCACACTAATTTACTGCCACTTTTTCTACTTTAGTTTTAGAAACTACAATCGCAACCGGAAATCCATCATTCGTTATCTTGGCGAACGCACTCGAGATACGGAATGCAATCGAGGTGTGCGGCCCAAGTGCATCCCTTCAGATGTCTATGCCGATCTCGCTCTTGGACCCATAAGTCTAGATCTTGCTAAGCAAATTGTGCAGCGACATGCACCTCCTATTACCTCGTCAAACTCCACCACTCCACCTCCGCTTGCGGTTTGGTCATTGTTACCGCATGAGAATCGTATTTCTGTGTGCCACTTCACAATGAAACGTGTGTTGCCCGCTCTGCGCGCCAAATCAGACCTTGTATTAGTAGCTACGGCTGCAAACAACGCTGCTGAGAAAGCAACGTCTTTCGCTGTAGATCACCCATCATTGTTTCTTGGGGAGGAAGCCTCAACTAAAGTACAGGAAGAACAAGATGTCATCCTCAATGCCTTGAACGAACGTAAGCGTCAGAAGGTGAGCATTCGCCGGTCGGCATACCACCCTGGCGAACCAGCAATACCACCGGAAGCCGAACCGATCAAGTCTAAAGAATTGATGGTGTTTCAGGTAGGTCATGACTGTATTTTTGCATTGCATACCACTAATTACTGGTCATGTAGAGTGTAATTAGTTTAGGGTCTTGGGGTAAACCTGTATTGCTTTTTCGTGGGGTATGTATTAATGTTTTTAACCCAAATAGGGCAATTACCTGGTTATTCCTTTGCTCGTTTTTCGAGCACTCAATGCTCGTAAGCCATGGACTCCTTACCGTGTAGGAGAACCGCGCATAGGGCTATTCCACAGCCTGACTCATAGCCCTATTCCTTACGCTCGGTGCTTTCTGACCAAAGCAATATATCCAAAGGACAAACGGTAGGGCGCTGTTTACTGTTTCACATGTGAACAGTTTCCATTCACACTGAACTGTCTTTTGTGAACAGTGTTCAAAAGAAATTGGTAGTTAGTCACTGTAGCTGGGAATCCTAGCGTTGGAAATAGAATTACAGAGGTTTGTTACTAAATTAGTTTAACTGCTGGTTTGCTCATCCAGTTTAAAGCTATCCAAGTTCCGTGCTACCTCCAGCTTTCGCGCCGTATTCTGTCAGTTTAATGTTGGATGACTGCAGAGCGATCCCTACTCTTGATTTCGGACTCGTAATTTGATTCATAAGACGTTTCACTGACGTTAACCGTACCATCCAGTTCAGTCAGTCCGGTGGTTTCACCAATCTGCTTCTAAAAAGCCATAGGAATTTCCACAACAGTTCTTGAACAAATTGTAGGTTAACATAACTGTCGATTCCAGAACTTTGTTCATTAGCTTGTACATAGTAGCACTGGTAATGTTTCCTTTCTACGCTCAACTGGGGCGGTGGTTATGACATCGCTTGTGTGAAGTAGCTGGGATATTCCACAACTCTTCTTTTTCGAAGCTTTGATGCAACCTCATTTCTTATCGGATAGGAGCGTGGTACTGTAAGTTGGCTCCCATGCTGACCGATATCTTAAGATAGTGGCAACAAGAGTGAATGTAGAACTGCTGAATCATTTGAGATAAAAAAACGTGTAATCAGCTGCAGAAATGTAAACCTTCGCGAATGATCTTTCGGCATGGCATGTTTCATGTCCTCAATCAGTCTCCATAATAAAAGTCCATTTTCCATGTTCCATGAAATATTTGGTGTTCGAGTCTAAGGATCACGTACTATTCAATCGTCTTTTTGCAGGGAGATTGCAAGATGCTCAATCTTGTTGTAGCTAGTAGCAGAATCACCACACAATAAAAACAACAGCGCATTGCCAACCTACACGCGGTAAATAGCTTTCAATACAGGCATCGTCATCCAACAGCTAACCGTGTTTTGTTCGCGCCGAATATGTTTGTACCTTGACAAACCGATGGATATTCCATGTGGCCACCGTTAGTGGCCCGCAAAACAACAATATACCACCTCTGGCGTAGTGGATCATCTGAATTGTGTTGAGCAGTAACTCACCAGTGCATAGCTATTCAGATGTTTTATTGTACGGTAACACATTTCGTGTGTTAGCGTAGACAGATTTCCTTAAACAGGTGAGAGGATACTAATGACGGCGACGACAGTTTTGTTTGGACTCGAAAACCAGTTGACCATAACAGCACCAATCCGTGTGCTTTCATTATTGGTTTCACGAAACGCCAACTTCGTTTTTCTCTTTCACCTCAGGCTGGAATCAGGCGTTTCATTACAGCCCCAATCTATTCGACTCAGACAACAAATGTGCATGAGAAAGCAAAATACGAAACGTTCTTCCCCGCTATTCATTCGGGGGTTGTGGCTTCCGTCTATGCTCCAGTGATGTACAGTCCGGTAAACACGTTACAGTTCCGTATCCGCGTTGATGAGGTGAGAGAACGTGAAATGCATGACTACTTTTTTTCTTTCGTTTGCGCTATATATTCTCTTTAAATTGGCGTGAAAGCTTCTTTTCATACAATAAAACCGAGCGACTGACAAACCAACTGACCCTCAGCTGTCTTAACTGGTTTGACAACAACAATTGGCAGGCAACCAAAAAACAATGCTGCCCATCTTGTTTCTGTTGTGCGTCCAAGCAGCGAGGGAAATAAAGACAAACAGGTGCTCTGAAACGCCTGACTCAACAGCTGAGTCGCTTGTCGGGGTAACTAAGTGAACGGATTGAATAATTCACAGCCAAACAAACGTACAATTGCCTGGGAGAGCTTCTGAGAAAGATGAGTACCGTAGAACTGAAGTTCGATTAACCGGAGGTTGGATTGCACACTTCACCAGTTGACCCACACAATCTGGTAACAAGAGGAAGTTCTGCAGAGATGTTCCAAACGTGCTGTTATATGAGGGGAAGGAAAGCCAGGCTCCTACCGATAATTTGTTGGGCTAAGTGATCGATTTTCTGGTAAGGATCTTATCCAGTTGCTCGACTATAAGAACAATGCGAAGTATCTGATATATGCTGCACCACAAGAAAAGCTCCGTGAGCGCCACCTACAGCATAGCCTCTTTGTGAACGCCAATCACCAAATGTCAGTCCGCTGGGGTTTGTGGGTCTCAGTCGAGTCAACTTGATGGACTAGGAGTCCAGATGCAGACCCTCGTATCAACTTTATGCGATTTTGTAGTCGTCTCGGGCGTATAAGATAGCTGGGACTTTGCATCTGTTGTTTTTATTCTGTGACTGACAGTCGTGGAAAAAGCCGTTCTCAGGGACGTAGCTGGTTTGAATATCAGTTTAATGGGCCTCCGTTCGACGTCAAGCGATTTACCCCAAGTAATCTGCTCCTTAGCGCTAGGTTTTACCCCCTTATGTTGTTTGTGCATACACTTGATGCGATGCTATGTCTGGTTAAGAAACTTTTCGTGCGTGAGGCTTTGCCGGGTGAATTCTCCAGGAACACCGATTTTGAATGCTGTACGTATTTGTACTTCTTCGGTAGGCTTCTCTCTTGATTTGACTTTTAAGTTCCTTTGTTGCTAAAATCGGTGAAGCTTTTGGCAGATTCGAGATCAGGATCTCGAAAGACCGATGGTGGCAGCAGCAATTACGCTTATACGAAACGGGTTCTGTCCGCTTTGTTGCGTATGAGTGAAACCCTGATCATACACGTATGTAAAATCCTATACTTGAGGAGCTTTCAAATTCAATACTTGGGAGGGATATTGCATACTAATTGGACACAGACTGTCTTTTTGGTGCGCTGCAGCGGAACAAATTTGTTAGCTCTGTACGATTACCTACGATTTTTACCGTATTGAGGCTTCTGTATGGATGGATAAATTCCAAGTAGGAAAACCGCGACTGAAAGAAGTGGCGAAACTCGGACACCATGATCAGTAACTCGGAACGACTAGTTGAAGTATAGAACAGGAGGATGTTGGCAGATATAATACAGGTCGGTGTCCGTCAGTTCAGCGGTCTAAAACTGAGCCGAGGAGCTGACGATATCAAACAGCCAGATGTGACTCCATGGCCGTCCTAGCATGGACCAAAACTGACCGAATTACGGCTAGCTCCCCACGCCATACGGCTGTGATTTGGACGGATTTCCCAACGGTGTGGGTCTCCGATCCACCCAACTTGACTTCACTGGGTCCAGCTGTGCGATTCCCTTCACATGGACCCGTAACGGAGACCTCCTGCAGGAATTTGAACATAGCCTATCACGGCCACCACAACAAGACAAACTGAAGCACATCCTAGCCAGATCACACCTAATGAAAGGTTCATGCACTTAGTGTTAACGCATACCCACACACACACATAAATACGCTGGTTGTATCTGACTACCAACTGATCTGAGGGGCACACAAACATTGGGACATGATGGCAGGTCTAAATAACTTTGTGCTTGATCCGAATTCTGCAAAAAATCCTTGAAAAAGATTACCTATGGCACCCAAAATATCCGATTCTTACATCTTATTCCACCAAGCTGTTTCGACTATCGGTTTTCCATAAAATGGTTGATTTCATTTATCTGAAATATGATTTTAACGCTACTAATCGTCATAATTTATGACAGTTTGTGGTAATCAGGAATGTGTGAATTTACGGTAAGCCTTAGTTTGAGTTCACCCTGTTCAGTGTTGTGAGGCAGTGGTACTCTTTCTCATCATTCATTTTCGTCTTTGTTAACGATCAACTCCCTGGAACTTCCTTGCTCTTGATATTTCGCCGTGATATTCTGTTACATACTTCAAGTATTCAGGTTCAGACCTTTTAGAGGTGCAAGCCATTTAAAATAACCAATCGCGCAATGTAGTATGCTTTTCCTGCAGAGTGCTGCTACGATACTGAGTGGGTTCAAACCCAAACTGCATTTTGTAGATGAACCACCGAACTTCGTAGGTAACTTATTTTCCCGCCAGTTGTATGAGTTCTGACAGACTGATTCAGAATGCGGAAAACTAGGACAATCTTCGAGATTTATGGACCCAGGCTGACTGCCAAGGTATTCGGAGGTCGGCTGCTTGAAATAACCGAACGTCACGTCGATTGGACAGATGTGCGGCCAGTGGGCTATGCTCTGGTTGGCCGGGATATGGGTCAATCAAAATCGAGCACTTCCAGCTCGGCGCTTCTCGTCTTATGATGAAACTGTAGTTTGAATCTTCAACTCTTGGAACATCCCTCATTACCGTTCGTAGAAAAGTGACTGCGGATGACTACAACACGTTCACGCGAAAACTACTGACAATTTTGCGGCCATCACAGTGACAGCCAAACCGGAGCGTAGACGACACAACGGCTCTCTCGCCTTTAGTGTCCGGTGTCGGTAATCTTTACCATTGTACCTGCGTTCTTAACCCCCTCATTCCAGTCCTATGGTTAGGCCGCCATCCAGAAAATAAGGGCAAAGAGGCCGTCACACAGAACATTACGGCATTCTAAAACTGCTGATTCGTACGCTAAAGCTGATGTGACCGGAAAGAAGCCGGTGCTTTCGAGAAGGCTTCTTATTTATGGGGTGGGATGCGGAGAATTCTGTACCTGGTTAAAGTGGACATTATCAAAACCACCTTCCGTTAGCAGTCTTTTAGTAAGATTTGTGGCGGACAAGTTCCCTCATGATGTTTGGACAGACTTTGGTACAAGGTGTCTGATTACGGTAACATACGGATTTATTGCTGGGCAACTAAAGCCTCAAGTGATGAACCAAAAGTGACCCATTTTGATGACGGAAAGTCATTTTGTTGACTTTTAGAACGTTATGCATTACAGTTTCGGACTATTCCCAGTGTCATGTTACTCTTCAATAATCCTGTGAATCTTGAGACCTTTTAGTTCAGTTTTTTGCAGAATAGTTGATTCCACACACTACTTTTAAACATGCGATTTTTGAACAATCGGTTGCATATCCGTAGTTGAATAATTGGGGCGTCAGGGATATGCAGTGCCAGCAATAACTGGGTTTAAGCCGACGGACCAGTGTCATTTTTAGATCTTGAGCCTTAGTTCACGTGATATGTTCTTCTCATCATAGTTCCCATCAACATGATGTAAAGCGGTTGTGCCAACTGACAATTCAGTTTTTAACAGGGCCGGAAAGAAAATGTGCAGCTGTAGTACCCTTTCGGTGCTTAACTTCCATGCCACCAGAAGAAGGCACGAGGGCTGGGATAGAGCCAGGTTGCCGAAGCCTATACAGGGGAAGTCGAGATACAGAGGTAGAATTCGAACCACGGACCTTCCGTTCAGTAAATTGGCGCTCTAGACAGATCCACCCCCCACCGTGGACAAACTTATATCTGGACATATGAGCGAACGGTAAACGGCAATACTCGTCTAGAACCGACAGTAGTTAATTATTTCTAGTCGTCGATGGCAGTCGTCCTCCGAGACCAATGCTCAAACGTTCAAAATCTCGTGTACCACCAGATGGCTTGGAGAAAAGTGGTTTCAACTCCACACGCACATGCCATTGCCTATGAGGGCTTAGATACTGCCAGGCTGCCCAAGTTTGAATAAATTTGAGACGCAGAGGTCGGATTCGAACCACGGACCTTCCAGTCAGTAAATTCGCGCTCTAACCACTGAGCCATCTTGCCCCGCAGGACCGAAAGCTCATCCCTTTTTGGTCTATTGCAAAACAGTGGTCTAAGTTCTGCATAAGGTAAATTTTTAAAGCAAAATTAAGTGGCATTTAACATTAGGTAAGTCACAACGCAACTGATATCCTACATCACCTTACTTCAAGCTTCTGTTCCGGTTTTCATTCTCATCCCTCCCACTCTGTTGATACTCAGCGTTGGCGTATCAGTACTTGACCACGCAGTGTGTGATGAGTTCACTTAAAGCTGTTACTTGCTGCATCCGCCAGCTGTCTCTAGGACTAGCGAAATGGCTCAATGGTTGGAGCGAGAATTCACTGACCCAAAGGTCCGTGGTTCGAACTCGACTTCCTCTATCTAGGCTTGGGCAACCTGGCAGTATCCCAGCCTTCATGCCTCCTTCGAGTGGTATAGCAGCTAGGCACCGAAAGGGTGTTACAACTGGATGATTTTTACTTTTGTCTCATTTTACTGCTGTGTTGTGCGAAGTTCGAGAGCAATGGTGTCTGGTTTTCCATCCTGTTGTATTAAAGATGGATCGGCTGGATTTCGACTTGGCATAGATTACTAGCTAAGGATGTAGTATGTATTTTGCTCCATCCACCAACATGTGATTCATTCCTTCTTCCAAATGCACATCCATTTCCTTTTACTTGCGTCGTGTATCTTTCTCCCGTTCACAGGACGAATACGGTGACTTGTCCGCACCCTACATAGGCGAGTTGGTTGCCACAGGCACTTTACATTCAGTCGACCCCACACGCCTGATAGTGAAACGTATTTTCCTTTCTGGACACCCTTACAAAATCCACCAGCGACGTGTTGTTGTCCGTTTCATGTTTTTCAATCCACTGGACGTGGAGTACTTTAAGGTAGGTAGTTTGGTATGTTATCAACTACAGATTTTTCATGTCCAACTCCATTGAGTTTTCTGCCCCAAACTGACTTGTCGCGTTAGCCTCATTATCGATGTAGCTACAACGTGAAATGAAGACGATAGATATGTCGGCAGGATGACTGAGCCAACCGGTGATTAAGGAGAAAACACAATTGGATACAGAGGGGGTGGGGTAATCAAAACAGGTTCCCAGGATGAGCGAATCAGCTTCGTGATTCTGCTATTTGGTTGCCACGCGCCGAATCGGTTTTTCTGTCATCTCCATGACAAGGTTGTTATTCTCTCTATCTCCTTACTGTTACGAGTGATACGAGCACTCACGTACTCGGTCGGCCATGCTTTTGTACCGCATCGAAGCATAAGTGTTGATAACTTTTGTTGGGCCGTTGCTGGTGATAATGGTGATTTTTCGTTTCCGGATAAGGTAGTTTCCAGTACGAACTTGGGAAAGACAACCGAGTGCGGTTGCTTTTGGGGGTGGGCATACTGTGTGGGGTCGAACAGCCAGATGTTTGGGTGTGCCTTCCATGGTCATGAAGCCGTATTAGAGGAGTCGTTACAGAGAACTGATGGAAGACAGAGTGCTGTAGACCGGGACTATCGAACTAACACGGCCTGTTGGTCACCTCAACTTTTCGATGAATCCTTTGTCCAATCAACATGCCACTTTGTTAGACCAGTTATTGCGGTTTTAGACAAATGATTGTTTACCGCTTAATTTGTTGGCCAGGTGTCCGTGATTTTGGGAAGCTGAGAGTCTTTTACGCTGTCCACGTGTTCTTACGGAAGCTGAACTGTTGGTGTGCTGAAGTGTTGTAGGCACACTTCGGTCATTCTTTAATTGCTCTCTTAACAGCCTTGAATTCTGTGAACCGCTCATTAGTATCTCATTGTGTGCTTGCCCATGTCCCACAGACCATTCTTATGTACAAAGTACTCACGTATTTTACCCCTCAGGAACATATACGCTGCTTCCGTGCCCTCTGATTTTTAGAAAACTTCCCGAGGGTGACTAGGTTGGTAATAGCAGCAGCAATGGTTTGTTGACAATTTCCGGTAATTGCTACCTTGTCCAAAGTATTGGCTGTGTCACGCTTCTGACACACCAGTGGTGAAAAATTTGTGGCTCGACTATGTGCTAGGCATGCCGAATCATTATTACTGAAACGAGTTTGGTTCTCCGTTCCTCCTTAAGGGTGGAACAGACTGTGAGGTGGACAACATGTCACTTGATAGAAGCGTGCAAACGAGCTCACGAAGAGTGTGGGTGTTGAGGTACTCCTGACCTCTGCGTGCGTTTGGCTATAGAGGCTGCAAGAATTGGCGGTTACTTGTTTTCGGTGGTGGTCGTACCGTCATTTTTTTGCATTACTATTTACGTCACACTCGTCTGATTAATCTTCTTCCCGTCCTGATGCAATTATTCTATTGAATCCGCACTGGACTCGGGTTTCATGAGAGTTCATCAGCAGTACATATCCTCTGCCGTCCCGGAGTTTAAACCTGGACATCTGAAATGCAACGCGAACACGTTACCACTACTCCACCGGCGCCTGCTGTACGCGCCTGAATTATCACATCTCACCGGGTGAACGTGTCCACACTTCAGTCATATGAGTAGTGTGCCCAGTCCCAGATTCATATTGGGTGTTAGGGGTGTAGGCATGTGAGAATTCAGGTCCCGTCTTCATCCGCTCTTTTCGTTTTTAATTCTAAGGTTTCGAATACAGTAACAGAACTTTAGATTGTATGGCGCTGAAACATCAATGATGGTGCAGAATACGATTGCTCTAAGGGACACGGATCATTTTGCCTCCATACATCCCCATCCGGAAAAAGTTTTATTACTCTTAGTTTATTCCGTTGCTGTCGCTCCCAGTAGGCACTCCATTCTCAAAAGGCAACACCACAGTACCTGCATAATTTTTCTTTGGATCACCGCTGTCATTGCATTTCTGCAAAAGCGATAGGCTATGGCCTTGATTCATCGCTTAGTCTGGCTTGCATTCATCCATCTTATTGGGACAGGTCACGAATGGAAGAGGACCGGTGTGGAGCGGTGCACGAGTCGTCGATAACTGCATTTGTTCTTTCGGTCGCATTTTCGATGGCCACCTCATTTATTCCGGTTGAAATTAATAACCCAATCATTCTTATCGAACAGCGATTATAGACAGTCAGCGCAGAAAACTTGTGAGGCTAATCCTGTTGATCGTCTCTGCCAAGAGGAAGTTTCCTGGGTTTAGACAAAATTTTTGTCTCCCATCAGATGTATTTCCCCACTTGCGAACGGGTCCATATAGAGCTCATGGACTTCATATTGACAATTAAGGCCGCAAGCGGACCTAAATATCGACCAGCACACTTTGACTACGAGACGCATACATTGGCTCACAATCACCGTTTAAGAAAGATGTGTTTTCACTTCACACAATACAATTCCGAAAAGTTTAGCTCAATTATCAACGCAAGCTAGGTCTCAGTCCAGCCTTTCTAAGGGATGCGATACGGATATTCTTGACTTGGGACATTTGCGGTCAATTGCTATCGCCGTTGTGTTCACCGAAACGCCCATTGTTGCATTGTTGTGACTGATGTTATTCACCTACCCCTTCGCTAGTACGGTGAAAGACTTCATGATCAAAGTTGTCTGCATAGAGAACGCCCTCTGATTAAGGGGAGAAACAGTTAATCGAGTGTGGCATGCGATAAAGGCACGTAACCATTAAAAACGACTGAAGTGAGGCCAACGCGTAAGAGGACTTTCGCGCACTTATATGGGCTGCATCCTGTGTTCAATGATGAAACAAGTATTTAAGTATTGTGTTTTCGAAACCACCGCAAGAGTAGCGTTGGGCTTCTTGTAGAATAGAGGATGAGTGGCTTCTCTTCGGACAGAAGTACGAATCTCACTGGTCGGGTGGCCACGTCAGGCTTTGGAAGCTAGGGAAGCAATGAGCTAAAAAAAGCCCTAGGATCATAGCTTTCCATGAACAGACACACTCCAACCACACATTTGCGTGGACCGATCTTGCGAGATCCAGCTGAAATGTTTCATCTAAGGATTAAATTTTTGGTCACTAATCCCATTGATTCAGCCACCAACACTTTTTACATTCCAACGTAACTAGTTTGACTCCTATCAGAAACACCGTCAGTATAATAGGCCAGTTAGAGTGGCCATACTTCTGTTATTTTGCCACATGAGATTGGCTAAGACGAATGCTTCAGACAGTCGTATTGTGTTGGGCCAATAAAGATTATGAAATCTATCCTACACTTTTTATCCCTCCAGACTGTTAAACTCCAGACAAGATCCGGCGCAGTTGGTCACATCACCGACTCTGTTGGAACGCACGGCGCTATGAAGTGCATTTTCGACCGCCCGTTGAAAGCGTCCGATGTGATCCTGATGCCACTATACAAGCGGGTATTTCCTAAATGGCTGTATCAACCGACGATGGTCAGGGTTCTCAGAGCGCCTCAGATTATGGACCCAATTTATCAATGGCAAAAAGCACCAGACATAATACAACTGAAGAAAAAGTCTTCGAGTTCATCTACACAAGATGAGAATACAGAGGCCATGGAAGGGATGAACCTGTTTGATTGAGTTTCCTTTCCTATCGCCTAATTTTCTTCACTTCTGGACTCAATGCATTCGGTCTATTTTCTGGTCTCGAGCCGTGCGTGTATCATATTCATTTGAAGTATGATTTGCCCTGATACGAATCACCTTATCATAATCAACGGAAAATGTGGTGGAAATTCTCTCGAGGCTTTTTAAACTAGTCCAGTTGTAATGACTCTTCAGTCAATCGGAAACCTCGTGAAATACCTCTTCAGGCTGTGCGCGCCTTTAACTGATGTAGCCATACCAGGGTTGTTGTACGAGGATTGACCTATTGAACTAGCAGTGACGCCTCACATCGAACCCAAGGACATTCCATTTGCGAAGGAGCTAGAAAGGGAAAAGAGCTGTCCTAATCATAACTGCATAAAGGTTCATTGAAAAGATAACCAGAATTTTAGGAGTTCAGAGTCACGTCCGTGGCTAGCGTCAGTCATATCGCAACGTGAACATTCATAAACAACCTTGGCTAGATACGTCCGTATCGGGCGATGACAACCAATGCATACACCAGTCTTCAGAAACCCACCAACTCGTGATTGGAGTAGTTATCCCTCTCACTAGACCTAGGTGAGTGAGTTTGTATTCCGTATATTGTTTGTAGTTGCGAAAGATCCGTAGGTGCCCTTGTTCAGTCTGTGCAAGACAAAGCTTGACGTTACCTCCGAATGCGACCTTTCCCTGACTGTGGATTTTGTTTTACGATGTAAATCGCGCTTAACTTATTGGCAGCGTTGTTTACTTTACTGTTTCCTCAAACTCCATAAGCCCTTTTGATCTTCAGTGCATCTAGCTGCATAGAATTAGCACCAGTGTCAACACTGATGTTGCTGTATCTGATAATGATGGGTTAGCTTTAATTGTTGTTATATCTTCCGGCACGGATTCCTTTCATTTCGCGTAACTGAATAGCCACAGTACACATGCGTTAGTGCACCCCTTCAGTTGACAGCCGATCGTGTCAGGAAACAGAGTACGCTCCTCAAGTGCCAGTACTCCAAAACAACTAACCTCTGACGATCCCCAGCTCCAAACAAGCGGGTCTTGCAATCAAGGTGCAATACTGAACGAGTGGCCGATGGTGGATGGTTTCACAACCTTTCCGTAGTGTATCCATTAATTGTCAGGCGACCACATTTACATCGCCTCGAAGGATGATGAAGCGGACGGTTGTAGACTTGATAGCTATGACAGTGTTGGGGAATGCGTCCGAGATTTGGTCGAAACCGCTTTGATTTGGTCTGGTAGGAAGTCCTCTCTTTAGCGAAACGCTCCCAAGTAGAACAAAAGCTTTTTCTGCGACAACTTATTAAGCAGTAGCATTGCCGCCTAGCTTGCTAGCACTCATTGGGATAATCATCAAAATCAAGATACCAGTTCTTCGGTTATTCTTTTTCCATTCCCACTATCATGAAACCGATCTACGATTGACATTGCATATGCTTTGTAAGTTTGCAATCATCATCGGCATATCCGATCCACTTCGGCTGCTGAGTGGTTTTCACTATTTCCCCTTGTACAGATCCCACATCATGTGCCCCTGTGAGCGTTGAATTCGAGTTTTTGGAACAGAAATTTGAGGGTCTGGGTGAGGCGCTTGTAGAATTTAGCGAGTATGTCAGAGTCTTTAGCTGGCCCCCCGAAAAGGGCGGCTGGGACGAAAGTGTCCAATATCACTAACACTTTTTACCGATACAATAGAGAACGCGGCTTCTCTGCAAAAGTTGCTTTAGTAGCCTGTACACATCATGGAGTTTCCGGTATTTCCCTGCGCCGGTTAACTGCTTGCCGCCGGCGGCGGCTGAGGTCCAAAAGGTTTTTTCGGACATAGGGTCTCCTAAAACTTGGCTACCTATCTGTGGCCGAGTGGACGGTAGTTTCAAGCGTCCATTGAACGTTGATCGAGGTCGACCCTTATTCTACAATCTGTCAGCTGTGTCGTAATGAAACTTCAAACAGTGTAGGATTTTCGCCTGCTCGAGAAAGACCATCTTGAACCGTCACGGGGCACAGCTTTGTACAGGTGCCAACAGCAGTACGACCCGAACAGCCAGAAATTCCAATTTCTGCATCTCCTGGTACAGGTCAGTAGAAATTGCATTCTTCATTATTATTTATCAGTAAATGGAGAAGTCGCCTGTTTGAGGCCGACTGGTGTTTCGGGTCAAAAGCTGGCGTCTCGTCCCGGGCATCAAACAGTTGGGCACTTGTCACCATATTACCACAGTGGAGTCGCAGCGCATAACACTACCTATACAGAAATAGCGCGATGTGTGAGGATCCAATTGAAGCCACAGTCAACGTCACGCTGACCACACCCTCTATTGTTGAACGCAGGTAAAGCCCAAGAATACACACCAAACGACGGCCGAAAATATTGGCAAAAGGTGGCTGGAAAACGTGAGGAATGCCGCTGTCATTCTTGGCATCTTTCGAAGACGTTAATCAATCAATAACCAGAAACCCAAAGTATACAGACCAGTGCGTTTTACCATATTTAGCATTCTTCGGTACAGCAAGAAAAGCGATCACAACCGTAACATTTGCTCAATGATTTTCTGAAACATTAGCCGTTCTGAGTCTTCCGGGAAATCAGGGTGAGAATTGCTCATAGCCGTACTGTCCAAAACGTTGGCGGAATTTAGGAAGGTCAACGAGCTACACTGTTCCAGGGGGTCTGACAGAACCTTGGTTCAAGTCGCGAAGCTTACTCCAATTGAAGAGTACACGGGACGCCACAGAATTACTTGCATGCTTACACTCAAGGTAAGTTAAAGTGAGGCCCAGCGGAAACTGGGTACGCCTATTTAATTTCTAAAAAATCGTTCGGCTGTAGCACCTTTTCGGTGCCTAACTGCCATGCCACAGAGGGAGGCACAAGGGCTGGGATACTGCCAGGTTACCCAAACCTAGACAGGGTAAGTCGAGAGGCAGAGGCCGAGTTCGAACCACGGACCTTCCGGTCAGTAAATTCGAGCTCTAACCACTGAGCCATCCCGCACCCTATTTAATCTCTACGCGATTCTAAGGGGAAATTGCACAAATAAGTAATAAAAATTAGGTGAAACAAAAAAAATAATACAAATATATTATGCTCTTCTGAAAGCGACAACATTGTACAAATTTATAACCTCCCACTCGGCTTGGGAGATAGTGCCCAAGAATTTGGAATGGCGGCACGCCTCATCTTCGTCCAGTCGCTGTTCTGCGTGCGCGTAAGCTTTTAGTTCATCGCTGGCAACCTGTTTGAAGTTTTCGGGGTAGGACATTCGCGGATTCTTCCATGTTTCCAATGCATTCATGCGTATTAACAAATCAAGTGGTCTTTCGATTCCTCTAGACTTGCAAAGTGATTCGTGAAAAAATGCTGCAAACGAAAGAGGGGGTGAAACAGGAATTAGACCATGGGCTGATGCCAGTTCATTCAGTAGCGGTGGGTAGATCAGAAATTCAGGACAGTCGACAACACCTTCTAAATGGAAGTCATATCTAGCGCCAAGAAGTGGAAATTGTATAAGTTCTGGCATTCCGGTGGGCGAGTCAGCATTAACCGCGTCTTCAACTGGTTTACTAAAGGAACCACTTCGGAAACGTATAGAATAGATCGAGTTCCCGAAAGTCACATCGTCCTCCGGCTGTTGTTCAGGTGTGTTTGATGCCGCATAGGCTTCTTTAGCTCGACGAACGATTTCGTACGCGTTGGGAATAGTTGCGATGAAAAACCCGCCAGGTCTCAGACAAGAACTGACGTTTTTGAAGAATTGGAGAGCCTAGAAAAACAAAACAAGCAGCAAATGAGTTTGTCACGTTGGTGGCATTGTCGGATAATTACAATGAAATATCATCACCAATAGGTTCCGAGGATAATGTCAAACATCCTGAAATACATACCAGTGAAAGGCGTCCTCATTAAGGTTTGAAAGGAGACCCTGTTCGGAGTTTCGATCCTTACTTTAGTTGGACAAGCATCGCGGTCATGGATAAAATGTACGAAAAGTCGGCTTTAGTGGTCCAACTGTTTTTCACCAATTACCTAGGTTGAGTAGGTTGTTTGTGCATTACGAACGACTGTTGACGCCGTTGGTGTAATTCCAACATTAAGGCCTTTCACCGAGCCCTATAACACTATCTGGTGACGTCTTCGAAAATTGTGTCACTGGACGGTGTCTGCTATCTACGATCAACGAAATACTGCCATATACTTATCTGCCCCGTCTGATCCAGTACCTATGGAGGGGTTGTAGGTAAATCAACCGGAATGTCGGCATAACCGCTGGTAAAAGTCAATAGATCGGTATGGTAGGTGATGAAATTTTGTCTTTGAATTTACCTTCCATTGAGAGACTACGACCGTCGAGGATGTATGCACGTGTGCGGGACAAATTCCTTCCCAGCAGTTATCCCCAGCACAGTTCACTGATCTAAAATGAGCTAATCGGATTGGAGAAGTGGAACGTGACGGTTTCGCAGAACCTGCTTGAGATGGGACTGTTCATTTTTTTATAAAAGGCTGTCCAGGAATAACATCCGATTACAGGTTAAACTAGGTTGGGCGTTTCCACATGCATATTTTTGTCATGCACATAGTCGTGTGCGGTAACGTACATTTGTAACACTAATTCATTCTAACTACCGATTCAGTATTCAACCGCTGGACAGTATTTGTCTCATTATTGTTTTCCGACTCCCATTCATGCACTGATAACGCATTACGTCACTATAAGTTGATCAAGCGAGACTTGGTACGCTGCAGACTAATATCGGTTTATTTATGCACGTCGATCAGGCAAACGGCGTTTATCTGTCCCATGAACATATAACCCAATAGATTTGTCGCGACTGCTTCGGTCAGCTGGTGGGTGATATGAATGCCTGAGTTAGGCAACTAAACCCAGAAGAAGCTCGACTTGGAGGCGATGCTCAGATTACGGATAATGATGAACGAAATCGTCTATTTCTGGCTAGAACAAACGCTCACATTGAGTTACTTGGACGCCATCAACTGCAAGACAGCCATAGACTCAGTTAGATCACGTGACTATCACTTACCGATGGAAAGGCCCAATTATAGATTATGTTTCCTTCTGGGTACGCAACTTGACTCCGATCATGCCATTGTGGTGGCTCGGTTATCACCTCGCTTTCCATCAGCGCTATGCATGCTGAAGCATAGCAATACCAGTTATCAAATTTGACCAGTTTCAGCAGCGCAACAATATCAAGGTGATCAGGCTGAGAAAGTGGTGGAAACGCACAGTCATGCAGATGACGAAGATTACTTGGAAGTTGAATGGCGGCGAGTCAAGAAAGCTATGTTCTCAGCTTTCACAGCTGTCTGTCCAAGCCATCCGACTAGACTGAATGAATATTCGATACCGTCGATATCAGTAGACCTTATTAGTGCCAGAAAAGCCATGCCAGCAACTAGCGACTATAATGAGGCACGCATATAGGTATCAACGAAATAATATGCGAGAAAGACCACGGCAAAATCGTCTTGGGCGAGGTGTTGAACACTTTAAAGTCCAGTTAAGCTGGCCTAGTTCAACAGTCTGTGAGATACCACACTTCCAAAAGAACAATGTATTTTGCTCGAATGGTCTGTTCCGCGCACTTTTCAAAGGAAGTGGTAAAGCTCCTGCGAACAGCCTGACGATCATAGTGTGGAAAATTTGTGACAAAAGCGAGATGCCAATATAATGGATCGCCTCGACAGTGATCCGTCTTCAAAAATGGTGCAAAAACGCCATATGAAAACCGTCGTGATATCAGCCTGGTATCCAAGGTGTACTATGGCGTTATTTTGCACAGGTTGACCGATCATTGGGAGACAAACTCGCAAGAACCAAGCTGAGTTTTTTCTTGGCCGAGGATGCACCGACCGTATCTTCACTGTAAGTTTTTAACGAGCACCATCCACTCAAACGCCCTGAGTTGGTCATTGTTCTTGATCTCAGGGGCGATTCTAACTTTGTCACGGTATGGCAAACAAAGGAGCTTCTTCCAAATTTATACCCTTATGAGGCACTGTATGTTAACTCCTATCGGCACGTACCAGTGTACAACAAGTCTTCTCATGAGTTCACCATATCGCGTGGTGTAAGACCATGCTGCCCATCCTCACCTTTCATCTTCAACTTTGCTCGAAATTCCTCTGGTTGACTGTAAAACCTCGAAGATCGAAATTTCGCCGGGATGTTTGCCCCCAGAGATTGGGTATACGCACAATATTACTCAACAACCTAAGTAATTTTGCCGCACGATTTGGTATGCACTTCACATCTGGAACGTGTACATTGCTGGTACATGACTAGGTGGAATCTTCGTGTTTGAAAACAAGTCAATCAACGTGATAAACGAATTTATTTACCTGGGCAGTTGTATAAGGTTCGATGGACTAGCCGGAGACGAATCGGGAAAGTCAACGCAGCGTTTGCCAACCTACGGTGCCGATGTGACGTCACTGTGTCAAGAGCAAAGTACACACTGCGGTGATACCATGCACACTGCTTTGTGGATCAGAAACGACCCCTACGCATAGAAAACACACGATAACTGTCCATATGACTGTCGGTGTCTCCGAAGCATTAGCCAAGTCTGTTGGGGAAGTCGGATAAGCAAAGGTGAACTAGAAAACGGATGGACGAGTTACTCAAGCTTTATAGGTTACATTGGTTAGGACATGTACTTCTTTGTTTGACCGCGTTTTAACGTGAGGATGACGCGGATTACCCTGACCTAATATATTTTGTTTACTAATCGAACAATTCTGACGTGTTAGCACCATTTCATGGTAGACAGCTGAAGTCAGCTAATCCCCGCAACGCTGCGAGGGCTTTGGCGATCGAACGTTCCCGGAAATCATACAGTTATGTCATTTTTAATTCGAGGGCGACTAGGATCTTCTTAGGACGTAAATTCAGGGATAGTTGAGCAAAGCTGGTTTCGCAGATTACCGGTAATGTGACTTTGAACCTAATAAACCTAGAACGGAAGCTACGAAAGAGTCAGTTGACGGCGATTTTATGGATGAAGATGTTTGGCCAACAGACATTCAACCACGGAAAATTTGAATGTTTTGATGTTTTATGGTCAAGCAGCCATGAAATACGGGTACAAAAAGGTTAAATAACCATAGAAAAATCAAACCCGACATATTGGCAAAGTGTGAGTGAGTAAACAAGAGCCATCCACAAGTTAAAGTGCTAAAATTGAGGATATTCCGCAAGGATACACTTACGTCGGATTTTATGCCATGATTCAAAGAATGTCTACACCCAAGAGGGATCTAAAACCACTTCCTCCATGATAACCTCCACTCTAGAGAATAACTAACGAACGAAGTCAGTGACTAGATGGCTGTGGAAAAGCCAATCCAGATTGTGGATACACACTTTTCGTCGTCTTACAATAGCGGGAAGTGTAATATTTTGACAGATTCACTATTACGGCCCCTCGCTCAGTGATGCTTTGTGATAGCCACATGACGGATGACGCGTCTGATGGGGCTAAATGCATAGGAAAGCTACTGATTACCTAAGCAAGATCATAGATAGGAAATAGCACCGTGGTCGATACAAAGTCAAATCGGTGGGTCAGTCCAACGGTAGCCGTCTCCTTGCCGAAAATGCTTATCTATCTATCTTCCTACTGTTTCCACATCAGTTTTCAGGACTTTAGAAACCCACATTAAGATCTAACCTTCCATGATCGAATAAACCACCAACATGGGCTATTACTGTTCTATCCTAGTGCGACTCGGCTGCTGTGTGTGGTGAAAATGACCTCATGCTCAGCATATGATCAAGGCGCGACCCACTTCTGGCCCTCGTTCAAAGTGTTCCTAGCAGCACTTCGAAGGCAACGAGAAACAAAAAGTATATATTGAGATAAGTTAGCTGTCGTGCTCGGGCTATTCACAAGGTGGGGAGTTTCTGTCCTGTATGTATGACTCGTTCTTGCGTGCTCCCCACTCACTGAACCTCCCCGCAATGAAATCAGTACCCCCGATTGGGTTTACGCTACGAGATTTACTTCCCTGCATTCACAAAGCCTTAAGGGTTTGACCTCACAGCTAATAGACGCAATGGTAATGCAACTTTGAAGCACCACTGCAACGCCGATTTTTAGTGGAATAACAAAACGTTGTGGCTGAACCCTTTTTGGGAAGTGGCATCTTTGTGAATTGGTTCACAAGTAGTACCCAGGATTGAAAGTATGTGCGCCAGTCGACAAACGGAATGCAGAGGCAACAATAGACATTATTCCAAAATAGATGGATGAAAAGTTCTCAAAATACACGTTCATTACCTTGGGTAGACTTTCAAACGCATAGTGTAGCGAAAACTGACAGCTCACGAGGTGAAACTTCCGGTCACGAAGCAAATTGTCCGAAAGGTCCGAGGTACAGTCACAGACGTGGAAATCAGCCGAGTAGAGACGTGGGCGCTTGCGTTGTAATTGTTCATAACGTTGTTTGCAAGCTCTAACAGATTCACCCGAAATGTCCAAGAACATTACATAATCCACATGGCCTTGTGCCCATTTCATCTGATCTCCGCCCTTACCACAACATAAGTCGAACACATGCAAACGGCAGTCACGACCGAATCGTTCCCGAGCGGCTTCCAGATAAACGCTAATTAACATACTTTTAGTCCAGTTGTTAAAATTACGGAGGTGAACGATACGAGTCTGTCGTCTGTATTCTAATGAGTTAGAGGCGGTCGATCGAGCTGCATTGTCATAGAACTTTATGACATTCGAAGCATTCGTTTCGACGGGCAACATCACGGAAGCTAAAAAAGAAAGATGAACTGTTGTGTTACTTACTAATTCAAACACCAACACAATTCGTGTAAAGAAGTTGAGAGTGAAATCAGAACTGACTGAACATGACCGCTGTTTCTCAGCTGCAGCAGTGGAACCGGCTGATCTGCTCGAGGCAGACCGTTACGGTAGAGCACCCAGAAAGAGGTTATATCGATCAGATTCTCTTGAAGGCTATCCTCCAACACTGCTTTACATGTCAGCACCCCAGCATCAAGTACTTTACTGACTGTCCAGACATTGTGGAAGATTCTGAAATGCAGTGAATCAATGGGGCGAACACTTGTAACGTCGTCTACATTGAAGTCTTGAGAACCGGAGTCCGACGGGAACGACTGTCCTCACCAGCGCTGTTGTAATTCGTCGTTGACTGATACGTGCGCCAGGCACTGTCTAAATACCTGCAGCTCAAATGAGCTAAGACCAGTGAACTTGGGTTACTCAACCGCCCTGATCATTCTGCACGCCAGGTTGACCGGAAATCGGCATCGCGCTCCTGATTGCCATCACTCGAAGGACATATCATTGTTGGTGTGTGGGTTGGGAATTCATCGAAGGAAATTTCGTCCTGTGAACAAAACAGGGCACCGAACAAATCCCCAGCTCGCGTTCGAGTGAGCCGACCTTCGCAAAGACCGTGCAAATGGTTTTTTTATACTAAAAAAATGCACATCGGAGGTGACACGGAACCAGCTTAGATACGAAGTCGACTTACGAAATCTACAACGAGCCTAGATATCCTTCATGGTTGTGAGTCACGGCCTCGGAGAAACAAGGAGTTTCCCGGCGAGAATTTCCATCTCATAAAGTAGCAATAAATGTTGTGCGCAACAATCGGACACCACTAACAGTTTGTACAAGGTGACTTTCGAAGCAAGTTTTCATCGGCGAAATTCTCTGATTGATGGTGTCACTGAAGGGCAGAACCGGGACATAGCTCCAAACAGTCAAAGCTGATGTTGATAAGCAGGAAACCCGGCGTACATACGGGATACGTCGATGAACTAAAACGTGTATCATACATGCGTCAAATTCAATTTGGATCGTCATGCTTCGACTGCCGGAGTGCGAAGCACTACTAGAGTAAGCTCATTCACATGCTGGAGAGTTAGCATACGGTAAATAAAGTACGCAGCGTTGGCTAGTACGCCACCCAAGAATTTTGAGCCTTCAAATATCTTGTTGTCACCAACCACGAAGTTGACGAGAAGAGGAGATGCTGTCCATTGTCGGCGAATCTCATTTGATTTAGAGAACGCTTGGAATAGTTCCAGTATGCACCTTCGCTCAACGACACAAAAATGTTTACACACGCATTTGGTGCTCCTACAAGCAAACAGCTTCTTAGAGCCAACTGAACGACCGCCGTATAGTCGTATGTATGGTAGAGCTCTGATGTCTGTTGCAGCATGAAAAAATGATCAATACGAATCAAACCAACGCGAAAGTTGCCTTTTTCCAGTGGTGAATTTTCTCGTCAGCGTAATACGACGCACATTAGAATGTCAGAAACTTAGACGCGACCGAGAATAAGTCGAAGTTACCGCGAAATTTTCTGAAGCCTTCTTGGAGAGAGAAATTGTGGACAATAGACATCAATCATATGATGCCTTTTCGACTTTCCGGGAATACCATATGGGATTTGGATTACGTTCGGATAGTACAAATTATAGGATTCCGGATCCCTAAAGCGATTATTCTGGGCTAGTTATGGGACACTGGTTTGTTTGGAGACGTACGGTGTACCTTTGGTTCTGGTCGGGTGAGCTGTTTTTCAGGAAGCTCCATCTGTCGAGATCATGAGGTCAACTGTAAGTGAATGTGCGGTCCTTCTCGCTCGAAGCAATGATAATAGTCTTTCCGTCCGGATAAATGTCTCATCGATAATGTCAGCTGAAAGACGTCGGCTTTATTCTAGTAGATATACTAATTTTGGGGATTTCCACGTAGCTAACCATTCCCCACTTGGACTTCCATGAGAATTTTCCACTTTTTGGGGTAAACCGACATCTGATCGTAGCTCCCAGGCAATGCTCGGGTAACTCTGGGTGCAGTTTCACTGGAGTACGGGTACTGAAGGCTGCGGTGTATATCAGACCTTTGGGGTTTACTAAGGGATAATTTTGAATTATTTCACTCGATGATAGCATAAACACGGGACTGGAGCGGACCACCCAAAAGTGGGAGGTGCGAGTACGATTCGGTAAACGAAGAGCTGCGGGGACAAGATCCAGGACGAAGGAAATGTGCTTCGGGCACCCCACAATGACCATTTGACTTAAAAGTTTGACCATAAGGAAGTAGATCCTATAGTTTACTATAGAGATCCAGACCGAAGCTAATGACACAATAGGCTGCGGAGGGCTGATATAGCCAGAGGGAGCTCGCAGTAAGGCACGGATCTCATTTCTGATGCTACAGTAAATCCTATTTGAATCCACTCGTCACAATCACAGACAGCAACATCAGTGTCAACACTGACGCTTGACTGCCATACAACCACAAATCTCATAATCTCTCTCATTTACAGCCTTAGGGTGAAAAGAAAAAAGAGGGAAGGAACCTGGTGATGGGCTATTACAAGCATTCTGAAGTGCTTACACCTCCAAGTGATATCAAACGATCTGGAGAGAAATTGACAATACGAACGCCATTGACGCTGATGAGCCGCCATTTCTTGCAGTCTCTTGTCAAGCGCAGGAGTCCAGGACCCCATCCTGGAAGGCGTACAACAGCAACAACACAAAGCACTTCGTATTCTCTTTCACGTCCGTCCGCCAAGTTAGAGGCTGTCCACCTCACGGTTTGCGCCATTCTGAAGGAGGCACGGAGAACAACATTCACCTCGGTTTCGGCATGCCTAACACAACGTCGAGCCACCTTAGTTGATGGTGCTGAATGTTTTCCTCGATTGGACTACTCGTTGTACAACCGAATACCCGTATTCTAGTCGCTTCGTCACTAATCTGTTAACGCTATCCAGAACCAACAGCGCTTCGAGTCTTCGGTGTTGAACAGCCCGAAGACGCCTCACACCATCTGTCCAAAGAGACCACTTCTGCAGCCATACAACAACACGGCCCTTATTGTAGCCTTAAGACCCAGTGATGTCATTTTGACGCCACGAGTGACGTAAATTAACAAAAGTGACTCCGGCCTTGCGCTGAGAACATCAGACACACTTCCGCCAGAGCTAACGAAACTACCGAGGCATTAAAAATTCTCCGCAACCTCCGTAATTCTCCTCCGATTCTAAGGGGTTCGTTCAGAGACCATAGGTTGTGAAGCATGACTTTACAGTTTGACGGTGCAACGTATGTGCAAAAAGATGGTATGACGGTGGCCGGTTTATGCAACAGTGCTTGTGCTTCGCCCTCAAAGATGAGGACTACGTCGTTTGTATACTCGAGATAGACAAGATTTTTACCATCAACAATTTGAACACTGGGGTTTCCAAGATCTTCCAGCGTTCGCCCCATTAATTCATCAATGAGGAAATTGGACAAAAATGGAGAAAGCGAACATCGCTTTTCGTAGGGAAGCTTTTAAGGAGCCCATCTGTAACGGTTCGCTCACGCAGCGAGCAAACAATATGATATGCGGATTGTGGCAATACTCTATCCCCAGCTATGTTGCTTGATCCGGACTCCTAGCACGGCGAATAGTAAGAAGACGAAAACCTCGGACACAAACTTTAATAAGCCAACAACACACGATCAACAGGAGATGCCCGGAGCTTCCGGACCCAAGTCAGTGCAAAGAATGGAATCCTGTACGTGGTCGGATTTAAATTTCCTTGGAGTATCAATAGGCCATTGATTTTTCATAGTTTGACCTTGAAGATGCCGGAAGTTCGCTAGCAAACATAAAAATACAGCGTTTTGGGGGGATATTGATATCCCCAACACCTCCCCTTGTGAAAAGTCAGTAACATACTCGACGGGGGTCGACCTGGATACGCTCCGGCTGGCGGTGGCGTCGGTCTGTCCACCGCCTGGGAAGAAGTGTTGGATCAAATACTGAGCTGCCGGTCACACTCTCCTCTTTCGAAGCTGTCTCAGTTTTCAGCTCAAAAGTATCGAGCAATATGTCCAACGGTATGCTACCCGAACATACTTGAGTTTCCGGCGTGCTGTTAAAGCGGAGTTGGTTTTGATGTCTGGTCCAGGTGTCTTGACCAACCGACACGTCGTACATTACACTACCGCGTTTGCGCAGGATACGACCTGCAATCCATGAATCATGTCCTGGGCGATAGTCACGGACAAGCACGGGCGTTCCCACCTTGAATGGAGTTCCAACTGCCACCGGTATGGACCTTGACTCAGTAGGTTGTGTTGGCAACATGGAAGAATGCACAGTTCTAAGTTTACGGCCCATGAGTGCCTCTGCAGGTGACTGGTGGTTTGCCAAAGCGTCATTCGGGGTCGTTCGGTACACAAACAGGAATCTCTGAAGGGCTTCGACGGATGTCTCCTCCCCTCGAGCTTTAAGCAAAGCCCTCTTGAATGTGTCGACGAACCTTTCTGCTTGACCGTTCGATTGTGGGTGGTACGGTGGTGAACGAACGTGTGTTATCGCATGTCGAGTGCAGAAGTCGCGGAACTCAGCAGAGGTGAACTGCGAACCATTGTCTGAGACTATGGACTCCGGTAATCCATGCTGACTGAAAATGTTGGATAACACTCTCAGCGTACTAGATGTTGTTGGAGATGACACCGGAACGATTTCTGGCCACTTGGAAAAAGCGTCAATCAAAACCAAATAAAAAGTGCCATTTATCGGTCCTGCGTAATCAATGTGGATCCGAGACCAGGGCTTTTCAGGTCGAGGCCAGGGAACCGGTGGTTGGTGTGGCGGATTCTTTGAAGCTTGTTGACATCGGGAGCAGCGTTTTACAAAATCAGTGATGTGCTGGTCCATGTGCGGCCAGTATGCGTAACTGCGAGCTATTGACTTCATACGGTTG